TTCAATATTTGGTAGTTTACTTAGTGATTATTTGACGAATGGTTTAATAAAAGCAACGATTTTCTATAAAAACTTGACATTATCTGCATTTTTTCCATTTAACCGGGATATATCGATTATCTAAATGTAAGAAGTATCTTGTACTTTTCTCCATTTCAAAAATTATGCCAAACATCATTATGGTTAAGAGATTAAGGTGCTAAAAGGTAAGAAAAATCACATTTATAAAATAATATTGTATATGATCATTATAAAAAGCCGCAATTAATTTGAGTATAAAATACTAATTCACGAAAAATATTATTAAAGAATTAAATATTATATTGTATCTACTCGGAAATTCTTACTAGGATTATCGATAGCCGTAAATCACAGAGTTATCATTACACAGGTTGCTAATCAATTAAAATTAGTCAGTCTAAAATCATCGTGGATTAGTAATAGCTATCAGATGCTTTATTGTAGAAATGCCAGGTGTAGTGGCTGTAAATCGAAATGTGAAACGGATGTCTAATAAAACGAAAGCTAAAATGATAAAAGCACAAACTCCAACGTGGCGTGGAAGATATCAGTTTATATGATATGAGTACAGTAATTACTTGAATATATATTTAATTTTTTTTTAAAAAAATTAAAATGAAATGAATGTTTTAAATTATCAATTAATTACAAATTAATAATCATTAAACAGTTTTAAAATTATTAATGAAGGCCATGTAATACTACGTTTGGCACCTGTTTAATTGCCGTAAGCGATGTAGACATACAAATATATTTAAATTAAAAAAAAAATCTTTAATGATTTTATTATAATAAAGGCGAAAAATACAATTATGATACAATTAAATATTATTTAAATTATATAATAATAAATTTCAATTAATAAAAAATACTGAATATTTAGTTAAATAAACATAAACCAGTTGTGTTATAATATATAGACGAAAATATTATAAGTCAATTTTTATTTTCGTACTACATTCTGTATGAGTAGTTAGTTTTTCAGACTGTGTTAATGTTATTATAAGTATATTTGCTATTCAGTTCATGAATACAATCATCAAGTTTCATATTGGTCTTATACCCTTTTCCACTAACCCTGTGTAATATATATGGTATATCTAAAAAGAGTTTTCTTCCATAATATCTAAATGGCAAAATAAGACAGAAACAATGCTGATTATCATAAAGTATTACAGTGGGGTATACTTATAGTAGCCGTGGGTAGGTAGACCGGCTGAATGCTTTTGACCTGAACTAGTAAATAATAGCTTCAAGCTTCGCTTCGTCCCTTTGTAATTTTATTTAGACCCGAAATATTTACATATTGGCCGGGACTAGTAATATATCTGTATCTATATGAAAATATATTTAATTTAATAAGAAAAATGCGTGTTAATACGGTTTTAAGATGTCGTCCTCTCTTTCAAATAAGGTTAAGCCTTTACCGATCGGGTGTGATAAATATCGTTCCATATACAAAAGATAAATAGATTAATAACTCTAAAAAGTGTGAAAGTGCAAGCTAGTCCTATATCTAAGCGCGTAACTTGTATAAGACAACTAATATATACATAAATATAGATAATATATAAATAAACACACACACACACATACGTTTGTTGAAAACAAGTTATTGTCTAACATTTTCATGAATGTTTAATTTTTTAAAGTATAATAACCTTCCTTATAAATAAAAATTTTTGTTTCATCATATTAACTATTTACCTACGGCAGAAACTATTAGGATTATTTTTTATATATAGATTGCTAACGGAATTAACATAAGCCGGTACGCTGTTAACAGCTTCTTTAATTTAGTTACGAGCTTATTTCATAATGTCAGACAACCTTTCACATTTAAAGAGTAACAACATTGTAGTGAGGATAATCAAGCAATATAATATTATAACACGAAGTTGTGGGCCGTCGCAATACAAGTTTAAATCCTTCAGTTAGATTAGCTATTCAGAAAAACATTAACGCCTCGTGAATGGGCCTACTCCAGTCTCGAACCTATGTGATATAAGGTTGATTGCTATCCTACATAATAAAGAGGCTCATCATCGTTCCTTGGAGCTATTTAAAGGAAATTTGCTGAAATAACTTGCTTAATGCTTCAGATAAGACGGTAAACAGTTTTAGAGCCTTAAGAATTCAGATTTTGTATTTTTTCATTATATATATATATATTAAATATATATATTAAATAGCATGGAGTTACAGGAATTCTTTTTTAAAGTATATAGTTTTATTGGAGTACTTAGGGTTTATTTCATTATGGTTCAAGTAGGATTTGGTGGTCAAGCAAGGTGCGCAAGCGGCTTATTTCACCAACATCGAAAGAATTGCAGGTGTGTTGCCGGCCTTTTAAAAAGGACTATGCTCTTTTCGTGAAAGTTACGAAGTCGTTTCGATTTGTAATTACTGCTACTGAAAGTTGATTCCAAAGTGAAGAAAGTGCCTTGATAATATATGGTGGGCTGTTGCATGTTATATATACCTAGCTATGTAAAATTGAACTTTGGTGTTGTGTTCTCAATCAAAGGTAATATGAAGATAGCTGTTGGTATAATTTTATCTGTATATATATTTATAGTTAATAGACTTTGACAGCATCTGACTGATTACCATCAAAGTTGGCATATAACACGTATATACAAGTAATACTTTCTTTACGGGAAAGTTGCAGACCACTTTGTTATAGCTCATCACTTGAGAACATTGCAACATATCGACTTTTGTGAAATGTATATATAGGTGTACATACCTACAGTGGTAAATTATACAGACAAGACGTCTATCTGTATAGTTTTTTTTCTAAAGTAATATAAAAATAATAAAAGATCCATTAAATTCTTTTTATACTTTAAAAATACCTAGCTTCGTTTTTGATCAAATGTATTGTAATGCAGGGTCTATACCCTGACTAATACATTCGCGAATCCTAAATATTAGTTCGGACAATTAATAAATCTCAGAATAACTGGATAAATAGAATTCAAACCCGCATCAAAAGGAGGTTGAAAAACTTTATCCGATGGCATCCATTCCGTTATGTGACTGTGTGTGCAATCACATCGGAAAGCCTACATGCGGGATCTAATCCTACTGAATCGAGCTGATCATTTTAAAGTCTTGCGGTGCTAATTTTCGAAATTTATTTCGGGAAATTACGAAATCCTATTATTGTGTTTTTAATAGCAATTAAAAATTTTCAGATTTTATGGTATCTGTATACAACTACATAGATTTTTCTAATTTAATTTGCGATTAATTAAATTCACCGAATTTTTTTTAATATGTTTAAAGTTGAAAAAAAATCCCAATGAGTGGGTGCAATCAACGCTATTTGTTTTAAATCATTTCATTCTATTCCATCTTTATTCTTTTATGTTTTACAATGAAAAGTTATGAATATAAAATTAATTTTAAAATGTTGAAAATTTAAGGCAAAATCTTTCTAAATACCATATTTTTAGATCACCAGTTACTACTTTAAGCTACCTGTTATATTTTATCCGTATATAATGTAATATATTAAATATATAATCTAATAAATTTTTTACAATATTTTTGTATTCTAATTTTTTTTTTCTTTTAAGTAACAGAAATTGTTTGAGAATTAGTATTTTATGTAAAAGATTTTTATCTCATACTATTAAGAGAATTTATATTGCAAGACCTGAATAAATATTTAAACAATTTAATTATTTCTTATGAAAAATATTAAAACATTTTCAGGTTGTAATAGACTTGTGGTACTTTCTTGTTCTATAATAAACATTTTAGAAATATATAAGATCACTTTTTGAATAATCATTTACAATTTATATAAAAATTCTTTTTAATTCCTTATTTAGCAAACTTCAATATTAATACGTCTGAAATGAAAATTGCTTAAGTAGGTATCAATAAATATTCCAATAAAGTTACTTAGGTATCAATATTAGGTCTTATAATTAGCTTTCTTATTTATACCACGCAGTATCTTTATTAATTAGAGTAATTTATAATTTAACGATAATAATTGTTATGAAAAAAACTTTATTATTTATCTTTTAAATATACCTATAAAGTACTCGTAATTACTTAACAAAAACCTCCAAATTAAGGTTTTATTTTTAGTATATTACAATTATATCTTTTTATCTTTAGGGCAGACAGAGGCCACAGATAGCCACTCATTTTCATTCTTATATATTGTAGGTATCCATAGCTAAAGAAGCTATATTACTCAATATTACTACTAAGTCAAAATAACATTATTTAAGGCATATTGACAATCTTTCTATTTGAGCAGTCTCTGAGTTGACTATATACAGGGGGCATACAGCGCAGCGTTCTGCGTGTCAATACAGTTTTCAGAATATTGTTACGGTTGCCACATTTCTGTAGTGCAGCCACAATGTTTGCTGAAGTATCTGCAACTGACTTCTATGCAATCAAGTGCAAACGACTCCTGTTACGTGTACATCGACTGCGTAGTAGCTGTAACAACGTCCTGAAAACTTTATGCAATAAATATGACAGCCCTAAGCATTTATTTTAGATCTTTTTATTAAATCTACTAAATATCTGCAAAATATTTTGTTACATTTAATTAATTCTTTTCATATTTTGTTTTAAAGTTAACTAATAACTGATTAAATAAAGAACAGATAAATAAACATGTGTACTATATACTATGGCATATATTTGTGCAATGTAATATACCCTTTATACCCCAATGTATTATAATTATGGTCACTCTGTGTCGCTAAAATGTTCTACGATGCGTAGCAACTTACCGTCAACGAAATCCTTGCAATTTTAACTTCGCGCGGATACAAAAAGTTTGTCTCGTAGCATATGTCGAATATTTGTACACACCGGTCGCAATAATGCGAACCGTTACCGAATCACATATACAGCCGCAATATAAGCGTTGCATATCTAACACACATTCACTACGACATTATAGAATGTTTCACTTCAGAATTGCAAATCACGTGTCGCAGGTGGTGGAGGCGCCCAGCTCAGCGATGAAAATTGTGATGCTGGGGAATTGAAGGTGTGCGTCGAGTTAATTCCACGGACACCTGTCGGCCTGCCGAAGACCAAGGAAGAGCTTGACTTACATTGCACGTTAGTATTTATTGTGTACCAGGAATCTCTCCCTTTCCATTCAAATACTTAATTATATGTAAAATTAGTGACTTGCTCCGACTTAGCACAGTATTTAATAAATAAAATACGACCCATGTTCTCGCTGACAATATTGATTTCCGTAGGTGAAACAATTTATAAAATATGTTAAATATGTTTTGAGTGAATAAACTCAAACAATACTTAACTGATTGTTACAAACAAAAAAGTCAAATCTTTATTATTATTATTTTATTTACTGGAATGGAAATACTCATAGGTTCGTACGTTACTGTAATTTATACGTTGGTCTTAATTTAATGAATTTTGATGAATTACGGTGATTATTATCCTAAAGGACCAAAGTATTCATACCTATCACAGCAATGAAACCTTCCATGAAAAATTATTCAACCTACGTAGGCATAAATTCAGCTAATCATGGTATATTTGAAGGAATGATTAGTTAGTTTATATTTTACTATATATTTTTCTTATTTACCAACGTTTTTTCTTCATCGTCAGGTACAGCAGTAAATATAAGATTACCATAACATACCGTATTAGCCTATAACCGTCTTCTCTGAACATAGACTGAACATAGACCGTTGGGGGGCTTTATCAGTAGTTGCTATGCTTGGCAGGCGGATTGGCAAACGCAGTTAGGCTTTAGTGATATTTTAAGAGAGACTCTGCTGCCCATCCCTAGACCATTAAGGTCCCTTAGTCGCCTCTGTGACACCCACGGAAAATAAAAATGTGACCGATTTTATGCTGAGGCTACACGGCATATAAGCTTAATTGTAAATAGTTAAAATCTTATCCAAATTAGGTTCCAAAATTTTCATTTTTTATTTACATGTCGTAAACTCATCAAAAAATATCCATCAAATAAATAAAAAAAGGCTTTTGTTACTCAATGATATAAAGAAGACTGTCAGACTGGAATAATAAAGATGACAAATGAATAGGAAGAGTAAGGGCAAAAAAGTCTGAACAATAGAAACATGAACACTTTGTGACTGTAAGATATAATTTCGATTTCAATGCTTTATTATAAGTAAACGAAAAATGAAAGCCGATTTTAATAATTGTAAAAATCTAATGGATTTAAGTACCGATTCAAGAAACATATGTCTTTAGTTTGAACTGGATTGACCAAAGCTATATTACGAGTATATATTTCTATAATTATATCATAGATTTTTTTTGCCTTCATAGAGTTCCAGTCATATCAACCGATTAGTTATTTTATAGCATTTTATATGTGATTCTAAAGAATCACCAGAAAGATATACCAATCTAAAGACTGGTATCTCTTTTTTATGAATGATATATTTATGAACAGATTGAAATAAAACAAACACTGAATGCTAAATAAACGAAAGTTAAGCAAATGTAGCAGTTGTAGGCAATAAATATTCCTAAGTCATTGTTGGGACTGCGCGGCAGATATAACATAAAGAATTGATGTTTAATTTTAATAAATTGCACACGGCACTATTTCTTAATAATCAGGAAATCCTGGAAATCCAGTAGAAATGCCACAAGTATGACAGTTGTTTAACGATCTTCATACATCATCGCTCCAGCGTACGTCAATCAAAATGTCTTACCATGTTTGACTTTTTGTTGCCAATGATAAATTCTGAGTATTATGTAGTAATCCTGATTACAAAGAAAGATGATGACATTTGAATATATTTTAGTTTCGTACTGAGTTTAAAAATAAGAAAGATCTCAATTCTAAAATATTTTCCATGTATATATAGTATAACGAGATAGCCTCCCTAATTATGCATCAATTTTGGTAAGTTTTCTATACAATAATGTGGAATAAAATCTACTTATTCTTAATATACGTACATTGATTGAATTCAAGCATACATTTATTTCATCCATTTTTTTACGATTTTTATATTTAATATTTTCAAAATACAATTCTTATAGATAATTTTGTAGATAATGATTTCTATGGAGCTATATACAGGCATACAATTCCAAAGAATTATTACATCGACAGTGCACGAAGACTTAAGTATGCACGAGATAGTAAATAATAAGTTTGAACAAACCTATAATTGAATACACTTTTTATTCATACTCGTATTTCTGTATCTAGTTTGGCATTGTACTTTTATTTTAGTATAGATATAAACACATAGTTTAAATAATGATTCGATATACATAGAAGTCAGTAATTTTCCACATTTTGTTTTTAGAGGCATCACGTACAACTTTACTCATCGTGCCAGTCTAATATTCTCATAATGATGTCATATTTCAAATTTAAAAGGAACCAGTATAAATAAATATTATAAAAAAAAAAGTCTAAATGAACAAAGTTTTCGGCACAGATAGTCTGCTCTAATGTATTCATGGAATTTTGTAAAAGGAAAATTTAGGTGGCTTATAAACTTCTATGTGTGCCTACCTACGATGCAGGCAACAAGAGAAGTAACAACGCAGTAGTGTTCAAGCTTTTAGAAGTTTACAAGGCCCTTGTTTACTGCAACAACTTCACTGCATTATATTATTTAAAACCGCAACCAAAAGACGCTAGCTAGCTGTTATTATTAAATATAATTAATTAATATTAAATATTTAATCGTGAGTCAATTATGCAATTATACCTACTACATACATACTACCTACATTATCTACTCTTTGTAGAACAAAACAAAATAACTTGGCAACTTTTCTTCGTCGATTTTATAAGAAAAGAACGAATGATAAAAAATATTAGGTTTGGCGTTGATGCACAGAAAAGAATTTTAACTCCATTCTTCTAGCTGTAATTTATGACCTGAAGCAACTCATTTGGAATGGATTGTTTTTCTAATTTTAAATATAAAGAACCCAATTTCTTTCGAATAATATTAAGAAGAGATATTTTTTTTACAATCATAGTTCACAATAGTTGAACTGTTATGAACCTATAGTTATTATCTATTTTTTTTTTGCGACATAAAATGGCACACTATCTGACCAGCCATGTGAAGTAGTAACCACAGACACGAATATAGTATGATTAGTGTAATGAGTGTCACAGAATATTCTGTGACACTCATTGTACACTTACATCGTATGCCTTACCGTACCTATTATATGTAATTTCCCTGCCATGTCTCAACCTTCAATTCGAATACCATGCGCAACTGTATTATGGTAGAAAATTTAAATACCAGTGAAACAGAGGTACCTAAGTAGACAACTTTTGAACGAAGGCTCCTTTTGGTATTAATCTAGCGCGTAATAAATAATTATGATTAATATTTATTAGTAATGCTACGACTTTGTTCACGGCGGTCTGTTTTGTCTCTCGGAAATTATAGAATTATGGCGTCAAAAATCTATGAAGAGTTCCATAATTATAAGAAAGTAGTTTTTGGTAAAAATGTGTGTATGATTTGTAGTGTTTATATAGTTTAGCAGAATTTTTTCACTGATCTGAGTTGATCTGACAAGAAATTCACACATCATATATGTATATCATCATATAAGCCGTTAACTATTCATTGCTGAATATAGGTCTCCCCTTTTGGGGGGTTTACCAGTAGTTGCCATGCTTGGCAGGCAGATTGGCAACCGCTGTTAGGCTTTGGTGATGGTTTAAGAGAGACACTGCTGTCCATCTTACGAATATTAAATTCCCTTAATCGCCTCTTACGACATCCACAATAGTGGAAGGGATGTCACATTCTACACGGAACCACACAGCGGATAATATTATATATTTTACATATATGACCTGTGAATTTACCATATCCTCAATTTACGGTGCTTCATGAACTTCAATAACGAATATTATAATAATATAACATTATTTACAAGAAATAGAAATGTTCATAATCGACTACACTGTGTAACAGCGTACATGTCAGAATAGATTGATGTATGTGGAAGAGGCGGAAGAAATCTATTTGAATTGGAGTATTTCACATTCCATTATTTTTTCCTATCGTAATGGGAAACAGGTGCGACGTAGTTTTTCGTAAGAAAATATTTTTATTAATACGACGGACGACGCAACTATAGGACTTTCTACTATTTCTACCGCTTCCATATCATTCACGATTATATGCTGTCGATACATAATAAATAGATCATTAGTATTGACGAAACTGTACAAATATATTTTGCTCTATACATAAAGTGATTTTAATCGTAATAAAATTAATATGGTACTAATATAGAAGTAACCCTATTTATTTATTGATCTATTTAATAAAATTACTTTAATTGCTGTAAATGTTTTTTGTTACAAAAAGTATTTGCGTTTCATCTTGACATCATGCCATGTGATAATAAATATTGATTAGATTTAGGATGGAGTACCCAGAAAATATTTAATTATTATCGATTTGAAAAGTCCCAAGAGTTTTATTTCTCCGAAAACACAGATACGATAAAGGTATTCTGTTTCTCAGCAGTTCACATTAGAAATGAAGTGGTTCACCGCTTCGTGTTTTTGTGAAATTTTGAAATGCTAGACACAAATATTAATTGAGAATCTTTTTTTTTTTTAAGTCAGTTATTTTGTGTAATTAATGCTATTAAAAGATGTAGGTGGTTGTTAATCCTAACTGAATATTGTTGGACAAGAAAATTCTATAAGTAGATACTTAGCAATAAAATCGAGAGACTCTCTTGACTCATTACTTGTCCTTAAAACCCGTTTATGGTGTTCCAACTAAATATAATGAAGTGATCCTTAGACTACACCTACTTTGATCCTAAACAAGTTTGCAGCTCGATGAAGAATATTGTTTTCTATCTTTAGCGATTTCAAATACTTCGAAATAACGTTCAAGTAGAAGCGTTCTGTGTAAGATAGTTAATTGACCATTATCTTTCAATTAAGTAATTTATAATTCGATTTAATATTTAATTTTATACAATGAAATACTTTACATAATTTATTAATAAAATGTCTGCAATATACGTAGTTTATTCTTACTAATATTAAAAATGTGAAAGTGAGTTTGTTTGTTTATTTTATGAAATTTGGTATACACATACTATACTGGATTTTCTTTATACTGGATTAGAAACCTAAAAGAGGAAAGGAAAGGCGGACGATTAACTCCATGCATCAGATAACAGTAACACTAGGTGTCACGTTATATAGGGAGGTCAATGATATGGCCTGGAATAGAGTTGGCTGGAAGAAAATGCATGAATTATTTGCACCGATAAAAGGAAACTCTTATATGAAAATAAATGCGATAGAGACCTAATATTAGAACAAGTAGCGATTATATACTACATAGATAGTATGTATATAGTAGATACCGTAGATTTATATCTACGATAAGAACACTTCTAAAGATGCTATTTTAAACATATCAAAAGCAAAATCGCGAGTAACATATAGTCTATAGTTATACTTTCGAAAGTGAATATATCATATATTTTTATATTATTATACCATACAACACATTACTAGCAAAACTTTTACTCACATTTCAGTGAGCAGAGGCAAAGATCACGAAGAGCGCGAATGTTACCTAACATTTGCATGTGACACTTAACCTACGAAAAATAAATTATCATAGTATGCCTATATTGCATTAACGTTAATACAATTTATTATTTATAAATTATTATTTAAAGCTTTATGTAATTCCCCTATTTAATTTGTTCATTAACAATCAAATATATATATTGAAAAATTTTATATAGATTTAAAATGATCCTATCTAAGCAACTTTTCTTTGTACCCTCTAAAAATATGTGAGTATTTAATATACCTACCTACTTACAGTAAAATGTTCTATGAAACATGATTCGGTATACAAAAAGTACCTATTTCACGAGAAGCTTTGAGAAACCGCCCGGCATGAGAAATGATCTCCGGTAATAAATTATGACCACATACAGAATAATTTTACTTTATTATTCACGTAGCAAATCAAATTCAATTTAAATTTGTAATTCTTAAATAACTAATACATATAAAGATGAATTAGGTACCTACTATTTAAATGTGTTGTTCTTAATAAATTATTTAATACAAGCAAACAAAATTTTGGTAAGTGGTATGGTCGGCTTAAATATATTATACAGGGTGTCTCAAAAGAAAGGTGGCTTTTTTTTCGGTTATTGCGTGAACGCAACTATTCTGAGGGGCGCATGTCATTCGATAGTCTAGCTTCTGGGATTTAGTCGCTATGGAGCGTTGCTCGGGAGCGGACCGGGCGTTGTGCGTACGCGAGTTTTACAAAAACGGTAATTCATGAAGCTAATTTCCATTTCAATGGACATGTAAACAAACAAAATTGTCAATACTGGAGTGCAACTAATCCAAAACACAAACATCAGAAACCCCTACATTCGCCTAAAGCGACCGTATGGGCTGCAATGTCGGTGCAAGAGATTATCGGCCCTTACTTTTTTGAAGATGAAAGGGGACACACAGTTACAGTGAACTTGGTCCGTTATGTGGAGATGTTAGACAACTTCTTCGTGCCTGAACTGCGAAACTTTCCTGGTTATAACCAAGGAACATGATTCCAGCAGGACGGAACAACTTCACACACGTCCAACAGGTCTTTACCACGAGATTGTAAAATTTTTCCTGGCAAATTGATATTCAGGAGAGGTGACATAAATTAGCCTCTACGAAGTCTCGATTTAATTCCTATGGATTTTTTCCTGTGGGGTTATGTCAAATCAAAAGTTTACGCTAATAAACCGACTTCCCTGGCACAATTAAAAGAAAATATCCGTCATGAAATGGCAGCCATCACGGACAATACATGCCGAGCCGTCATAGGAAATTTTAGAGCACGATTAAATGAATGCCGTGAACGCAACGGTTTACACTTGGACGATATCATTTTCAAGAAATCAATTCACATAAAGTGTATTATAATATGTAATAAACACCTTGTTTAATTTTTTTATCGATTTTTTAAATGTGAACTTTCTTTTGAGTCACCTTGTATATTACACTTAATTACGATATAAAATTTGATACACGAGCGTTTATATCCCCTAAATAATTGTAAATCCCGATCATTGAGAACGTTGAGTATATTGTTCCTGTATTCGCTCAAAATGGTGTGTTCATATGTCGGTATATAATAAAAAAAAGCTTGTAATATTATATGCTCAGCCTTTGTAATGTTTAATATCCAAAGAAAAAAAAAGAAAAGAGGAATTTATAGAACTTCTGGTAATAATAATAGTAGTCAATCTTTGAGTATCGGCTATCGAACGTATACTAATGGTAGCGAAATTAAACAAAATATTTCTAATCAACTTCGATACCCTTACTGTTCCCTCCATTCTCTATTTTTGGGTAAAATAAAGATACTGAAATATACAATCTATTTATATGTTTAAATATATTTATTATACTTATATTTCTATCAATATGTATTTATAATTCTAAGAACTTTCTTCTCAATATTCTGTCAACACCTTTTTTTAGAAAATATTGATTGTATGAATATAAACCTCGTCTTCATTTCTATTTTATTACCTATTTTCATCACCTGACTGCACCATCTACTGAAGAATAAAATTACCTACCGTACATAATAGATGTAAAAATTGTATATACGACTTAATAGATAAACCATAAACATAAGTTTATGGTTACATAAGTATATTTAGAGGGCTGTAGTTGATTTAAACTCAAACAAGAAGTTATTAACTGAGCTTTGAGTTCTCTGAGATCTCTTGAGGTAACGTTAAACTTTTTAATAGGTAATTTATAGATTAATTGAACTCTGTGAGCCTAATGGCATCATCTTAATGGTTATTATGTTACTAATTAGTTTATTTTACATAAGTATTGAATATTCTTACTACATAATTTCTACTAGAATAATTTGAAAACATTTTATCCGTGATTCGTGAAAACAAAATGCATACAAAAGTTTGATCTTGTAACACAGTAGTATCTCCAACACCATTTTAATTATTATCTTAGTCTTTATTTATCAGTTAGTAATTGTACTGTACATTAAAACTATATTTTATGTCTACAACAATTCACTAAAGAAGGATATAACAATAACAAAAATATTAATGTTCAGCCAACTTAAAAAAAATGAGAAAGTTTTTTTATTTAGTTCTATTATTTTTATGCTGTTACCTCATAATTCCATCAGTTATACACCGATTTGTAAATTATTTTTTTATTTGAAAGGGTATACTTACAGATCAGTTCCATAATTTTTTTATCAAAATTAGTCCTGTAGTTTAATTCTGAAATCAAAATGATAAGTTTTGCCACAATAGAAAACGGTGTTTTTTTGTATAGTAGGAAATAATTTATATACATATATACGAGTATATATCAATATATTTACAATATATATTGATTAATTGACTGACTGACTCCTATATCAACGCATAGTCAAAACCGAAGAATTTTGAATATTGAAATTTTGACGATAGGTTCTTTATACAACAACGTAAGTGAACAATAAGAAAGGAATTTTTAAAATTCAACATTTAAGAAAGTAAAACGGGAGTTAAAAGTTTATAAAGAGTTTTCTCAATTTTAAAGTCAGACACGTGAAATTTTTAATTTAGGCTCTTAATTTAGAACAAAACAAAAATTAATATATTAATTGGATTTTGAAGAATTCACCCTTAGAGAGGTGAAATAAGAGAAGCTTTATGGGCTGTACGAAAGTTTTAGACTTCTGATTAGAAATTAATTAAATACTTGTCATCCTTTTTGAAAATACCGTTCTCCTAAGAAGGTAAAGAGGGTATGTATGTATATGAAAACAAATTTAATTATTACAAAGTTTATTTCAGATATTCGCTACTGAACCAGTAACAAATATTAATAATACATTATTACAATTAATTAACTTTTGACTTAATTTGAGAAAAATAAATTCTGAGTTTATGAATTGAGTATGTTCACTACATACATGTATGGTAAAGTTGGAAATAGCAATTCGAATGCGTGTATACGTGTGAAAGCATATGAAATGGGGGTTTGCAATATAACCAGATGCACTGCGGACAAAATCGTATGGTATCTGGTATAATTTATAAGACTAAGACGGAAAAGAGATTTAGGTAAGAAATCGAATATCACGTGCGTGCGTAGCCGCGGGCAAAAGTTAGTCTATTATATTACTTAAAAAAAATAGGTTTATTACATGTCAGTGGATTAAGCTTTAATTTTATTATACACAGGGCATATCAAACGGGTATGGCATGTATGGACGGATGGATTAAAAGGTGTTTGCCGACGGATGGACAGAAATTAGTGCAGCAGCAAATTGGGGGCGCTAGAGCACTCATGCGTTTCCTTTGTACCAACGAGACCGCCCTAAGAAGAGGTAATCTTGTTTTTTTTGTTAATTGGAATTTTAAACGAGTTAATGACCCACCTGACGGAAAACGGCAACTGTCATAGAATACACTGTGATATATATGATACTCATACATTACTAGTTTTTAGCACTAAGTTTTTCATTCCGAATATTTTATACTTAAAATAAACTAATTGTATATTGTCTATCAATTCTTGTTTCTACGAGGTTTGTCCGGAAAGTACGTATAAAAGTTTTTTAAAAATTTTATTTTACAATTATTCAGGTAAATCAATTTTATCCCCTTCAAAGTACTCCCCCTGTGACATAATGCACTTGTGCCAACGCCGTTTCCACTGTGAGAAGGCTCCTTGAAAGTCCTCTGGTTGTAGGTTTCTCAGCTGCCCCGTCGTAGCTTTTTTTATCTCATTTATGTCCCCCAAATGCCGCCCCCGAAGTACCAATTTGGTTTTTGGGAACAAGAAGAAGTCACACGGGGCCAAATCCGGCGAATAGGGGGGGTGTTCGGTCACCGTAATGGAATTTTTACTCAAAAACTCACGGACAACAAGAGAGGTGTGGGCAGGGGCATTGGCGTATATTTATTATTAATTAACTACTTTTTAATTAATAACTTGTACTATTATAATATTAAGGTAGGTACACACCTATTTTGAAGCCGTACGCCATCTAGCGATTATTATATTACAAAAACAATTTATGAACAAATTGGCTATTTTTAGTATAGCTGACTCCACTCAAAACCTTCACTTCAGAATTTTATTGTATTAAAAAAAAAACTTTCCCAACTCTACTCACTCTATTAATAATTCTCCAAATATTATCTCTAACCTTTGTATTCGAATGATATAATGACAATATTCCACTCATCCACTTTACATAACTACATACCTTTCCTTATAGGACCTAAACATCCTCATTTACCAATATTCACTTCTCTATATAATCCTCACTTTACGTGTCCCATTAGCGCAGCCCTCTCGACTTTGAGAGTTGTGCTCTACAAAAAAAAACAAAAATGTAAACAAATATTATATGTAGATAGTACTTAAGAATTTTTTATTGAAAATCACATTTAATGGCAACATTGTATAAATAATAGATAATGTTCTTTATATTAAAGTTGCAAGTTATTATTTTAGTAAAACAGATTCTATTGATGTTTGCTGAGTAAATACGCAAGTTAAGGATATTGACATTACAGCGTCTGGTTGTTTGGAAAACCGTACATGTCAGCAATCAATATAACGGTTATAGACAACATTTCAGTGCCTAATGGCGTAAATTGCCAACTCCACGCGTATCGCACATTATCAATAAAAAAAGTTATATCGTGTAATGCAAAACACATAGTGAACACAGATAACAGGTACCTGGGAGAAATAAAGGCTCTGGAGCCGACATAAGACTAGTAATGATGTTCATAACTCATACGACGAGTAATGAAAGTTAATGAAGGCATTTTTGGCCAGGTCAGTTGCATTTACCTCTTACAGGACACAAATAAGTAGTACAATATAAGGCAATAATAGAGGGTGTCCAAGCATTATTATTTATATTAAAAACGGGAAGGAAGAATATTAAGAAATTTTGATTTGATCCTATAATCATTCGTATATTATGTATAAATATACGAAATAAAAGTGTACAGCGACGATTCCTTAATTGAATTTCTATGTTGAATTATATTGAATACTAAATACGATATTCGTCACTTGTTGTTTGTAGCTGTCAAGTTTCAAAGAAGGATATTTGTTTTTACTTTGCATTAAAGTTTATTTACATGATTTTGGTAAATTATATTTCTAATTTGTATTAATTTTACAGTATCAAATATTTTGTTTTATTCTAGTCTACGCTTATTAAAATTACGTTCTTACATTTATTGAATTTAAAGTATATACTTTTCCTTAAGAATATCATCCTTCCGCTGTTCTATTGTTTTTTTTTACGGGTGAAAATGGTATGGTAACCCCGCCTGCGCTAACGGCATACGCTGGCGGAGCACCAGTAAAGGATGATAGATGAGAATGAAAACAAATCAGTTAGCCCATCATGATGAATTCATCAGGAATTAACCATGATAGTTTCTAGGGAGAACCGCGAAGAGGTCGACCTGGTTGGGTATATTGCTAGCAATAGGATTCTCAGTCTCCATCACTAACAATCCCTTTCCCCCCTATTCTATTGTTTACTGGAAGGCACTTGTTATCATCATCATATTATTTATTGTCCACTACTAAACATAGGCCAGAACAAAGGCCTATTGGAGGGTTTTGCCAGAAGTTGCCATGCTTGTCACGGGTTGGCAACCGTAGTTAGGCTTTGGTGATGTTTTATGTAGATTATACAAAAAATGTACTTAAGAATAGAAGACCTGATTCTTTCTAGCTACTATATAAGGAATTTGACATGGCAAATGGACTTACATGAACATTGTGTGTATATACCTAATGATTTTTACACAGAGTTTTTGAAAGAACCAGTGTGTTGGGGCCGAGTGTCACCGAGCTGGTCAAGGTGTGTCGACGAGTTACAAGGCGCTGTTCGAGAAATAAGTGAACAAGCACAGCAGCTCACTTACTTTAATAGAAACGCTGAACTATGCTGGTAAGTAAGCTGGTATTAATTTATAAGCCTTATATTCTTTATTTTTGTATATATATATATATATATATATATATATATATATATATATATATATATATAAACATTTTAAATAGATTATTTTAAAAAATGTTTAATTATTTTAAATTAATAGAGGTATAAAAAAAGAAACTTTAATATAACCTAGTATTTAATTTTGAAAACTTGTATATCAGTGTTCTTCGACTAAATTGCCACCACTAAAATGAATAAATGAAAAAAGAAATATACAATATTTAATTTACTATACATACCTACTTATTATAAATATCTTTAGATAACAATACATAATTCTCGAGCGGCTATTTGTTTCGCTATTTCTGTTTATGATATTATATAATAATGATTCTTTAAATTAATTGATAAAAATATTAGTATTATTTTGAATTACTATCATTTCTGTACGCCTGATTAAAAAAATAAAGTAGAACATTTTCCTTAATTCCTGATATATTTCTTTTCTTTTTAAATAGTTTTCCTTCTTCTTGTTTCGTGTATTTATAACGGGAGAACTTGTGACGTACAAACGCCACTGGATACTTTATGAAAGTGTCATTTAGAGAGCATTCACATTTATAACATAACATTAAATACGATATCAACGTAAAGAAAATAATAGTATTGCTGTATTAAATCGTGAGTTTGTTCCTATTGATTGTAGCGCGACACAAGTGGATTTTGTTCCGAAAAAAAAAAACATAACTTTTATTATAACATAATTAATATTCAAATTAAATTAATGTTTAGACTGAAAAGGGAAGAAATAGAAAGTGACGATATTAGATATATAACTACATAGGTTTAGGTATTAAAATTGTGCTAATTAATAATAATATTAATAATGTTGATTAGTTGTACAGATCATATGACAATGTAGTAATAGTTTACATATAACAATGCGTTATTGGATCTCTGAAATATTTTATATAGATATGTCCTACTAGTTACAACTGAATAAAAAATAACTTATATATAAATGTAAGTTGCATACCATCTACTCGTGTATACCAAATTTTATTTAAATGTTTGCATTTATAACATTAATAAAATCTTTACACATATTCGTTTTAATTGACATTTGTTGTTTTGGTGTGCAAAGATCAAACCTTTAAATATTAATTGATTGGTTTGGTCCTTTGAGACCAGCTAGGTCGTAGTATTATAAAATATAAGCTGCATTACTTATATAATTATCTCTTTACAGCGCAAGAGATGCATTTATGATGTGTGTGGCGCACGCGGGTCGTTCTTGTTCAAATTCAGCCAGTACTCTGCTCAAGCGTATGGCGTGGGTACTTGCACAAGACGTCGCAGCATGCAGTCAGCAGCCGAGAGCATACTGTGCCGCCTCATCTCCACCATTCGTAACTCCGATCCTAACGGCGTTATACGGTGTATTACTCTACCCACCACGTTTTTGAACATGTGATATTAGTATACATATATTATTACAAATAATTAAGTCTTTTCGTTTATACCTATGTGTAGATTTATCTGTACTTGTTGTTTTTGCGAACTGCGGCAATTACATTTTGACTAAATCAAATTACTTAAACAATGCCCCCTCTTCTAAACTGTGCATCTCCCAATAGATGCAAAGTAAGAATTAATCAGTTAATATTTTGCAGAAAGTGTAATGTCTGCTAATAATGTCGCCTCTTAATATAATTCTCTATTATTCTCTGACATATTGTTTCCTCCATAAGATTACAATAGTAAACTTATTTATTACAAATACAAACAATTGCATGAAATTATTACACAAAGGAAACAATGGGCGGCCTTATCGTTAAAGGAAACATATTCTTGACTATGAACTCTGAAAAATGATAACTAAATAATATAATACAAATATAACCGTTTACTTTGTTATATACGAGTAACATAAATGTCAAATTCATTATTAGTTTATGTGGGTGGTTTTGTTGCTGGAACTAAATAGTAAAATTAGATAAATATACTCAAGGGAAATGTAATTGTTTTATAGTACAATGATAGTTATCATATATTTTTTTACCGTAAGCCGTTATTTAAATATTACAACCATATTCCTAGTCAATATGGAACAAATAATATGAGCAAGAAGGGAAGAGGGGACAAGCTGAGAAAATATCCATAGCGGCAAAAGTGGGAGGTAGAGAAGGTTAAAATGTTTGACAAATATAATACCCGGAACGACAAAATTGCTAAATGGATCACTGGGTCCATTTAGCAATTTTGCCATGGGATCAGTATTTTATTTCATCTAAATGCACTTAAAGTGTTAAATTTATGTACGCAATGCTTTTATTAAAAAAATCTAAGAAAAATTAATATCTAATCGATAATCAATGTCTATACCTGTATCATTTAGTTTATAGATTTTTGGATTTACATAACCCAAGCCAATTATTTTGGACGAACAGACTACTAATTTCAATATGTTCTGACTTCCTACAATGCATTTAAAGTCGTCACTCTATCCTGTGGGAGGATGCCCTACACTGCGATTCCCCGTACGGAATCGCCACTCAAAAAGCTTTTGGTGTATTATAATAATAGTAATTTTTATAGTGTAATAATTGGATGATTATGAGACAAATAATAAATAGTGAGGCTATTTTATTTTAATATCATTGACAGTGCCGAGTATAATCAACTAAAAATAAATGTTTTTTTCCAGTAGTTGCAGTGCTATGCTGATAAAAAATTAAATATCTGTAATACACACTACAATAAATATCAACAAAGCAAAAACTTCAAAGATATTGTAAAAAAAGGTAGCATGAATATAATGACGATTTTTCTCTAAAGATATTATGATATCGCTTGGAGGAGGTTTCGTAATCTATAATGATGTCCAGTTTTATAAATAACTGACTTTACCTTTTTTCGTTTTCTTTTATTGTATCATTTACATATTTTTATTTCTGGAAAATTAATATTCTAATATTACTAAACATACAGTAATTAAACTCCCAACTATATTATTTAAAAAAAAATATTTTCTAGGATAATGTAAATATAGATATTAAATATAAAATTAAGACGCAGCTAATTTGAATCCATTCCTTTTATCCAAGTACTCAGATAATACTTACTAGTCCCACTTACTTACTGCGTGTAAAAAATAAATCCCATATAATAGTATATTCAATTCCAAATTCAAAGTAATTAAAATTCGTCCAAGTAATTAAAAAAAGGATTACAGCTTCAGTAGCTTAATAAAGAAATATTTAGGGTATATAAGAACTAGAACAGTAGTTTAAATTATTTGTAAGGTATTTCAAGTTATCCAATGTATAGAATAGTGTATTTACCATGGGCGATACAAAATATTGTGAAGTTGGCTAAAATAAAGATGTCTTTCAATATATTAATATATTTTTTACGGATTGTGATATTTTTTTACAATCGACCGGGTTTACTTGCGTATTGTTTAAAAAAATTCAAATTTTTTTTGCTGAGAGACACATTATACTCTATATTTTGAGCTTCCTGTGTCTTGCTTCCTGTATGTAAACCGTAGATACATAGTTGTCGTATTTATGTGAATAACATAAATCAATTAGTATATTGAACGCGTATATGAATTACAGTAAATCGAGGATCACGGTCAGATTCCTAAACAAAGCTACTAAATAAAATCTTGCTTAAAGAAGAAAAAGATTAAAAGATGTAATTTTGCCTTGAAGGACGTTGCTTACGTTATTTAAAAACTATGTTTAGATTGTGTTTAGATGTGGATTAGAATTAACGAATGGTTTGTAAAGTTTTTTGTAAAAGCCGCCAAACTATTTTCAGCGTAGTGTATATTAAGAATAACGTTGTAATTTATTAAAAGGCATTTATCGATCGATAAAAATATAAATTGTGACATGATTGTGACTGATTATAATAAAGACGAGTTGACAAGAGCTGATTTAAATTTTGGTAATTTGTAATACTGTTAATGTCGTAGATACTAAATTGTAAAAAAGGAAATAAATTAAATAAAAGTAAGAAAAGTGTTTTTTATTAGTTGATTGTTATTATCCATTTATAAAGCGTTTTGAATGAAAATTTTCATTTCAAGATACTACTCAACAAAATTATAATGTTGTTTTCTTTTGCAAACAGAAAATAAATTAATACAATATAACACTTGTTTATGACTATTTTGTTACACGACTAGTTCAAATCGATTTCCAAAATAAAAAAAGTTACTAGCATTGGTAAATAATAACCTTAGATTCAAATTTCTATGTAAAAGTTACACTTAAAACTAAATTTAAATAGTTTTTGTAGAACAAGGCATAGGTAGAGCCGAATATTTACTATAAATATATGTATTAAACACGATGGGTATATAGACATTACACTTTCATAAATTTTGTAAATATATATTTATTTCAACACATTAAACTAGGAACATCACATACATAGAAATTAGAACAAAATTTGAATAAATGTGTTGATTAGAAAATTATTTTTAGGATGTTTGAAATATATATATATACCTTACCTAAATAAAACTTATTGGGTAAAGTATGTAATTTCAGTCCGGATATCGTATTTCTTGAGAAATTTCCATTAAAGCTAAATTTAGATACCAAGAAATTATACGTAATCGAAAGTCAGTTTTATGATTATGAACGCGCGCGCGCGCACACTCACACACACGCAAGCACGCACGCACGCATGCACGCACGCACGCACGCACGCACGCACGCACGCACGCACGCACGCACGCACTCAAGCACGCACGCACTCAAGCACGCACGCTCGCACGCACACGCACGCGCGCACGCTCGCACACACACGCACACACACACACACGCACACGCACACACACGCACACACACACCCTCACGTACATACCCTCCTTTCTTCATGACTCTGGTAAATATTGAAATTTTTTATTATCATCATATCAGCCGTTAACTATGCACTGCTGAACATAGACTTCACCCATAAGGCGGGGGGGGGGGGGGGGGGGGGCGAATGCTGACAGTTGGGATGGCAACCGTAGTTATGCTTTGTTAACAGTTAAGATATAAGGGAATACCAGCATCAGACATGCAAAACCTTTAAAATATATTACGATTTTAGGAATTCTAAACAAAAAAGCAATATAACGTAACATATGTATTTGTTTCACTATAGTTACTGTATCAATAACTGCATTTTTTCTACAAGAATATACCTAGGTATTTCGTGGAAGAATTAATTATAATAACGATTCTGCAATTATTCATTACATTAATCAAGTGTCAACATTGTGTGTGTTTGGATATAAATTAAAACATTAATTCAAACATAAAAGACATACTTAAAGATAAAAAATAGCAAGTTTATTTACTATTGATCCAATAAGCTACTTTTATATTACTAGGTTATTTTTATACTTTTAAAAAGCTATCAGTGTTTACATAAACAACACGTAAAAATATTCCTTACACAATAATACATATATAAGGTATGTTATAACTTTCTTAAGTTTGACTAAAAAAAGTATAAAATAAAATAACTTGAATATATAGTCGTAAATGAAGCAATTTTGCAATGAAGCAAAACAACGTAAAATAACATAATCCATAATATTTTTGATATAGTGAAACTGAGGTTAGCAGGTGGCTACGTAATTAGTTGTTACGTAGCTATAAGACTAGTATTAACTTCTCTCTGTAATAGAAAAGAATTATTTTAATGTCTAATAGCCTAAGATCTCAGCGCTGACTGCTGCCGGTCTATTTAATGAAACTTACTAGTTTTTACCGAAAGTTGGTTAAAACGAAAGATCTAAATTGTAATACAATGAACTTGGTTTGTTTGCTCTTAGTTAACCACAATCCAGGGTTATCAGATTAAAATAAGTATTAAAATAGGTAATTAAACTTATACAAAAAAAACTCAATGGGTAAATTATGTAATTTCAGTCAGTTGCGGCAATCTGCTTGTAACAGCCATTTTTATAAGACTCTCTATGTTGTCGTATAACAAAAAGAATAAACTCCCGTTTAGTGTTGGTTTTAACAAAAAGAATGAATTCCCTATAACAACAGCACCAACATCCACAACAAAATTTTAGATGTTCACAGCACTGGAGGCTTTTTTATATGTAACCATATGTTACCGTATATAAAAAAGAATCAACTTCTTTTTGTTGTAAATCTTATCAAAATTTTCAAAATTTACCAAAATTATTAATTACCCATTTTCACCTTGCAACCTTAGTTTTCATCTATCTGAAAGCAGGCGACCAGGGTGCAATGCATTATATTTTATAGCTCATCTTTTATTCAAACAAAATTTTATTAAAATTCTTTTACTTGTAGAAGTCAAAGGTGGGATCTTAAGCTATAATACTCCTACAACCTTGAAAGACGAGGGTAGCTTAAGATTAGATTTGTTAATATCCCCTTGTATCTAATGAGAAATGAGAATTATACAACTTTGCCTCGCCATCTGAGATAATTACTATACATAACCCTTAATGATTTAGTACTTTATAAACCGTAATTATAGTAACTATGAATTGTGGGATAAATGCTAAGGCTAATACTGTAAATGTGGGCTAAATATATACAATATGTATTTAAACCTTTGTATATTTGAACTAAATCGAAAATAATTATTAATACAACACTGTGTTAAAGTATATAATTTTTATATTTACATAATATAAATATAATGTATAAAGCTCAAGTGAGGCCACACATGGAATACTGTTCTCACCTGTGGGCAGGAGCGCCACAGTACCAACTCTTTCCGTTAGACCGCATTCAAAGTCGGGCAGCTCGAATTGTTGACGATCGGCGTCTTACTGTCCGGCTCGACCCACTGAAACTGCGTAGAGATGTTGCATCTGTGTGCATCTTCTACCGAATTTATCATGGGGAGTGCTCTGAAGAATTGTTCGGATTGATACCTGCTGCAGATTTTCACCATCGTACAACCCGCCATAAACTAAAATTTCATCCCAACCATCTCGACGAGTGGCGGTCCTCCACCGTGCGTTTTTCAAGGCACTTTCTTCCACGCACAACCACTCTTTGGAATCAACTTCCAGCAGCAGTATTTCCGAACCGATACGACAACATAACCTTCAAGAAAAGAGCATATTTCTTTTTAAAAGGCCGGCAGCACACCTGCAATGCCGTAGGTGTTGTGGGTGACCATGGGCGGCGGTAGTCACTTACCATCAGGTGAGCCGCATGCTCGTTTGCCCCCTGTGTTGTAAAAAAAAAAAAAAAAAAAATAATACCATTTTTGTTAAATTGAGCCATGGAATAACCGTAACCGTACTCATAAAATAAAGGACACAGTTATATACAAATTGTCGACATATCCGTATATTGAAGCAACTTAGAACATATACCACCTTTTTTTATCCAACACAAAATTGTAACAATGAACACGTCTGTACATTCTGATACCAAATGTACGTATTGCAAGTACTTAATTTATAAACAAAAATGTATCAATGATGATCATCAGAATTATTGTAGGATAAAGAAAACTTAAATATAAGGTTTATTCAAATTAATTTTGCAAAATATTAAGTAGAAAAGATAATAAACTAAATTGTATTGTATCGGCCTATGTTATAACTGTCCGCTGCTGAACATAGACTCGCCCATAAGGGAAGTTTTGCTGATAGATGTCACACTTGGCACGCAAATTGGCAACCGCATTTTGGCTTTTGGTGATGGTGAGAAAAACTGTTGTGCATCCCTCGACCGTGACCAGAAGCTCCTTTAGTTGCCTTTTACGATAACCACGGTAAAAGAAGGGGAGGCCTATGCTATGACGGGACCTACACGGCAAATAAATTTAAATTCCATAAATTCTTTATTTATGATTGACACTTCATAAGATAATGTTTATAAATAAATCGTAAGACAAAAATAAAGTTAGAAAATATTTATAAATAATAAGTGATTATAAAACTTTTTACGGCAGCAAGACTTGGTAAGTATAATTTGTAATATTTTTAAAGAAATTAAGTAGTTCTTATTTATTATACATATTTATTTTTATTCATTTAAAGTTTAAAGTACAATTATATTTAGTATTTTAATTATATAAGTAAGTGTACATATGGAGAATTTAACACCTATATTAGCTATGGTCAGCATAATATCAAATGGTATGGTATGATACATAGGAGAATCTAGATGATGTTTATCACTTTCCATGAGATGGGCCATCAACTTGTTTCCCATTATAAAAGAAAATATTATAAAACTATTTACAATACAAGTAATATTTATTTTATTTTCAAATTTGTTAATTAAGAAGAAAGTTAAAGAAACAAACCGATTAAAATTATAAAATCGTATTATATATTGTTTTATTGCAAACGAAAAATTTTAAATAAACTTATTGAGGGCTTTTCATGCCAAAAATAATTAAATAAATGGTAGTTCCAAAAGACCATATCTCAGATTTAAAGTTTACATTTTAATTATTCAAAAATTATTAAGAATTTAAATACCTGTCGATTAACCACCAGAAGGAGATTTTGTACAAAAATCATTTGCCTCGCTCGTAGCCGTGTAGGTTCCCGCATAGAATAGGCCACCTCTTCCTTTCCCGTAGATATTGTAAGAAGCGACTAAGAAAGCTTATTGTGGAAGGATAGATAGCAGCATTACTCTTAAAACATCATCAGAACCCAAACTGCGGTGCCCAACCCGCTTGCTAAGCGTAGCACAGAACTACTAACAGAACCCTTTTTATGGAAAATGGCTATGTCAATTGCCGAACAAAGCCTCTTATGTTCGGCAATGGACAGTCAATGGCTGATACAACATCTGCCCCATGTTTTTACCGTCAAGTAACTGTACTTGCTTGGCAGAGATATTTGCAGCAAAGTATCATATTCTTTGGAAATTCAACTACTCAGTCAACGCATGAAATGTACCATAAGCATCGTGTTTATTTTTTATGTTTACGGCATTGTTCATTTCTGTAGGGGATAGTTTCTAATTTCCATAGATGGGCTATCAGAT